ATTTAAATCCAATCCATGTGGAGACGATAATTATACTATACTATCTTTGGCTAGCGAGCATCATTTTCTTGTTGTGTTTTGCGCTCGTCAAATTTTGGCGCCGTTGCTGGGGATTGGCAATCAATAGTATTTAAAATAATTTTTAGTGTTAATTCAGGAACCTATTTTATTTTATTCTCCATAGTTCTTCTCTTCCGTGTGCAGGCAACATGTTGGCTTCTCTTATTTATGACTCGATCTTCTTCAAAGGAAGTGATACCCTACAAACCAGAGTTGGAGAAACACCTGCGACAACTGAGGAAAGAAAGAGAATTAACAGCAAATTTCTTGGGTCATACTTCGACTCAAGATAACATGGCAAACAAAGAGATTGACGGAGTAAACTTTGCTGCAAAAGAGGCAGCACAATAAGAAGCTGCATGGATACCAGCTGAGGTAGCCCGTAGAGTTGCTGATGAGACTATCGATGATTGTGGGGATCGAAGATTCAATCTAAACTGACCCTTGGTTGAAGACCAATTTGAAAATATGGTACCAGGCCTGGTAGAGCATTAGATGATTATGCCATATCAGTCTACAATCAGGGACTGTTTAATGTCAGACCTCCACCAGTAGTAGCGAATAATTTCGAGTTGAAGCAAGGCTTGCTTTAAACTATCCAGAATAATTGTGTCTTCAGAGGGAAGGTGAACGAAGATCCTAACACTCACTTAATGGATTTTTAGGAAATCATGAATACATTCCAGTACAACGGAGTGTCAAAAGATGCAGTGTACTTAAGGGTATTCCCCTTTTCACTGAAGGATGATGCAAATCACTGGATTCGAAGCTTACCAACTGAGTCAATCAGGACATGGGAATATATGACTTAAACGTTTCTTGACAAATACTTCTCAGCTGCTAAAATAGTTAAATTCAGAAGAGAAATCCACAATTTCTGCCAGAAGGATACTGAAATGGTCTTCGAAGCTTTGGAAAGATTCAAAGAGATAGTGAGAAACTGTCACCATAATGGTATCGAATTATGGATGCAACTCCAAGACTTTTGGGATGGGCTGACACCTTCCTCATGATGAACTTTGAGTATCTCAGACTCCTAAAGAGATTGTTGCAATTCTTGATGAGCTCTCTGAAGATGCTAACCAATGACCTGCTGAGAGTAATGATAGAAGAAAATCAGTTGGGGTTCACCAGGTAGACTCAAACACATTAGTGCAAACCCATCTAGACACCATGGCTAGAGAAATAAGAAAGTTATGGCCAAGGTACAGAGTGAGCCGCAAGTAGCATGTGACTTTCGTGGAATGGGATACCCTACACATGAGTGTCAAGCTTCAGCTGAAGTAGTAAATATTGTGGGGAGCTTTGACAGAGGCAACTACCAAAGTGGCAACAATTTTAACTCCATGGGGTAGAGGCACCCAAGTTTTTCTTGGAGTTTACTAGGTGGTAGTGCAAACGCATGGCAGCAAAATAACTCCAGACCTTAGGGGCAGGGAGCTCCAATTTTTCAAAATCAACAGAGGCAACAATATCATCCTCCATAGTCTAATTAGTCTAGGATGGAAGATCTGATGAAGGTCTTTATTATTAAGACAGATGAGAGGCTTAAAGCCCATGGCGCAGCTATCAAAGAACAGGGCACGACCATTCGAAACTTGGAAAGACAAATGGGGCAACTAGCTAATCTATTATCTGAGAGGGTTCCAGGAACTCTCCCTGCTGATACTGAAATAAATCCAAAAGAGATAATAAATGTAGTATTTTTGAGGAGTGGGCACGTATTGGAGGATCCCAAGGCAAAACAAAAGGATGAGCTGATTGAAAGACAGGTCGAGATTGTGGAGGAGCAGAAAAATGACAACATTTAAAAAGGTGCAGGAATGGTAGATGATGGTCGGAAGAAGAAGGGGAAGACTACAGCTTAGAAGAAGACGAAAGATGAGAATGCAATAAATGAGGAGAATGAAGAAAATAAATATATGCATGCTTTACTTTTCCCTCAGAAGCAAAGAAGAGAGAAGTTGAACAAACAATTTGGGCGTTTTCTAGAAATGCTCGAGCAGGTGCATGTTAATGTACCTTTCACAGAGGTGCTTTCACAGATGCCAACATATGCCAAGTTTATAAAGGAGATATTGTCCAACAAGAAAAAGGTGGAAGAGACATTGGTGGTCAAGCTCACAGAGCATTGTAGTGCCATTCTGCAGAATAAGCTCCCTCAAAAGTGTGGAGATCCAGGGAGTTTTACTATACCTTGCTCTTTTAGGAAGTACTAAGTTTAAAAATTATTTGTGTGATTCGGGTGCTTCTATTAATCTTAAGCCTTTGTCTATTTCTAGGAAATTAGAGGGAGAGATTGGAGAAATCAGGTCTATACTTGTGTCCTTGCAGCTGGCGGATCAGACCACAATCATACCTGAAGGAATAGTGGAGGATGTGCTAGTTTGGGTGGACAAATTTGTGTTCCCTGTGGATTTCATTGTGGTGAACATGGAGGAGAATAAGGAGGCCCCTCTAATTCTAGGGAGACCCTTCTTAGCTACTGGCAGAGCAGTTCTAGACATTCAAGCAAGGTAGCTCATGCTCAAAGTCGGGGAAGAAAGGGTGGTCTTCAAGATAGAATGAGCAATGGGGGACCCTAAAGGAGAAAACTGGGGAAAGTAAAACTGATAAGTGTGGGGTGTACCCAAAGAATGATGAAAAGAAACTCTCAACATGGATGTGTGCACCGGGTCGGGCGTGCAGAGGAGATCCCGACATCGATTCAGACCCCGACTAGATGAATTAGGGGAGTTTCCTTTACCTCTTGCTTTTTATTTGTATATCATGGGGACATGCCACAATTTAAAGTGTGGAGTGGGGGATGTAAATATATACATGTATGTTTGTTTTAGTGTATTTTGTTTGAATTATTTTTTTTGACTTTTCCCGACGATGGATTTCCTCGAATGTCTTCTTGAGGGATCAAAGTCAAAAAAAATATTTTGTTTTCCTAGGTAGTGTAACAATTCCCCTTTGATTTTTCTTTGTGTCGCGGTTCTTTTCTAAGGGTTTTGCTTGAACCGAGTGTAGTTAGTTTTTTTTATTAGGAATAGGGAAGTCTTGTGCTATGGTGTTAAATGGAGATAATTATTTTTTACTTTGTTGTGCCTTGAGAGTAATGAGTGCCTTAGTTGTGACGTCTAGGCTTAGTTCTTGACTCATGTATTGTAGTGCCTTAAATTGTTTGATTTTGACTTTGCTATATAGATTCGATCCTGAGTGAGTTATGTGCCAATGTATGAGTGAGTTTTTTGTGGATATTCTGTGCATGTCAGTTGATGTCTAGAACTTGCCCCGAGTGTTTGCAAAGTGAAATAGCAGTTTTGTTCAGTCTAGGAAGTGATATATATATTTCTTTGTTTAGCCACTTATATGTTTATGACCCGCCTAACTGTTATGTATCCTAGTAGCCCATTTGAGCCTATAATCCTACTTCTTTGGAAACCATACTGCAAGCCTGATCCTTATTTGAACTGACTATCTGTTTGAACCTTCTACCTCTCTTGAGCACTTGATTTTGTTATGAGCTTGTAAAAGCTAAATGAGGTATGGTCGGTTTTTTGAGTGGAACTATTGAAAAAGGTGAAAGGTGAATTGTTTGAAAAAACATCACGAAAGCCACTTGTAGGGAATTGAAAAAAAGAAGAAGGTGAATTTGCTTGAAAAGAAAAAAAATGAGAATTTAGAAAAGAAAAAAATGGATTACATGCTAGTGGTAGTTCTCATCTTGTTTGTGCTTAAAGATATTGGGAGCTTGATGTTATTATGTGTGAAGGTTGGGGTTTGGTTCAAAATAAGCGTGGGGTTTAAATTGTGAAATTTTATGTATTAAAGTGCTTAGGGAGGTATAGTCACTATATCCAAATGTATCATGCCCGTCCTGCAGCCTACATTACAACCAAATTAAGTCCTACTTGATCTTTGACTGAATGAGCTCGAATTAGTAAAGTATTACAGTACGGGCTAGCCTATGGTACGTCTTCTGTGGCACATGAATCTTAATTCTGAGAGTGAGGGAATTCTTTCTATCTTGAGTTTCTAATTGTTCTTGAAATTTATTGTGTGTGGAACTACTCTCTATTGTTTGTGTGAGGGCATGATTTACGAAGGTAAGGTAAAGTCTTTGACCTCTGTGTTAGAGTAAGCAAGCAGGTTGAGAAAAATGCATGGTGCTTTTGAGTCGAGTCTAGAGGCTAGTATGTTATGATAGGGTACTTAGTCTGCTTTAAATATTCTTGACATGATGAGTTAGGAAAGTTTTCTGATAAAAAGGTCGTCTCCATGTGAAATGCAGTTTGATTGATCGAGGACGAGCAAGGGTTTAAGTTTGGGGTGTTGATGGTAGGCTAGAAACCCGTATTTTAGTTATAGATTACACTCTAATTACTGTATTTTACTTGTGTTTGAGCTTAAATATTAGTGTATTACACTTATTATGTGTTTTATGCCATGCAGGAAGTGATTCCAAGTTAAAAAGATAATTGGGAGCTAAATCGATTAAGTTGGAGCTTTTAAGTCTGAGTAAAAGCCCAAGGAATTAAACCGGGATCGCGTTCGGGGGCCAAGAGCCAAGTCTGGATGTCAAAAATTAATGAAAACAAATTACTCTGGAAAGCTACCACTGCCGCGCCGCGTGGGGAGGCGCATGGGGCGGCGCGGCAGTGTAAAGTGTGGTTGCCCTGTTAGAGTCTATTCTCTGAACTTTCCCACTAGCGCCCTGCATGGGGCGGCGCATGGCGCGGCGCGCCTGTACAAATTTCTCAGAGTATTTTCCTGTTTCGGCTTGGAAAGGGTAGTTTCTTTCGGGCCCACTTCTACATGGTATAAATATACCAAAAAGGACGTTTTTGAAGGGACTATTGACCTTGGAAGCATTGGAAGAGCATTGGAGGCTACAAGACACAAGATTTCATATCTTTCGATCAATTCAATATGGTAGTTTCGATTGTAACGTTAGATTGATGTACTCTTACTCTTTAATTCTATTTATGATGACTTTCTCCATATCTATGGAGTAGTTTACTTTAGGGTTTGACATGATTTGGTGACTTGGTTGTTGTTTATGGATTTGAATTCTGTTTAATTTCTTGAATTTATTGGAGGGGCTTTAATATTAGTAGTGATTTTATTCTTTATAGTGTTTAATCGAAAGAGGAACATCTTATTTAATATTATTGCAGCGTATGCCTTAGTTTATTTTGGTAATTCTTTAAAGTAATCGAGAGAGATTTTTGAGTTACTATTTAAATTAAGATTAAGAAATATTCGCGAGAAGTTTCTCTTGGATCATTCCTACCAATAGATTCTTGCAAATTTCACCGCACTTTATATTAGTTTATTTGAAAGATTTAGATTTAATCGAGAGATGAGTCTAAATCGAAAGTATAAGCTAATCACCCATTGAATTCGTGAGAATCAATAGAACCTCAAGAGTGAAATATAACAGTGTCATATCCAAGATAGCAGCATTGCACCTATCATGTCAAAACGCTTATTCTTTGTCTCGATAATAATCCATTGCTTTACTCTCTAGTTCTCTGTGATCAATTGTTAATTTTTTTAATTTTAATAGTTAATTTTAGTTCATACTCATTTCAATCAAAGTGTTAATCATCCTGAATAGCGTTAAACTAGATATTACTTGAACATTATTTAAATTCAATCCTTGTAGAGACAATAATTATACTATACTATCTTTAGCTAGCGAGCATCAATTTCTTGTTGTGTTTTACGCTCGTCAGCTTTATGGGTTTTATATTGGCGCTTGAGCAAGATTCGCCCCTCCGGAGTCTTACACACCAGCAGTGAGCACATGAACAGTGATATCTACACGTGCTTTGGTGAGGATCTTGATGCCAGGCACCCGTACAGTGCTGAGTGATTATGTGTGTGATGAGTGGGCATTGAGATAGACATATTGTGTACTCTGAGAGTGTGAGAAGCTGGAAATATCATTGTGATATCTTACATTGACATGCATATTTGACATGTAGGCATATAGATGTACTATTCCTCATACTAGCCATACTTGACATGTTATTATTAGTGTTGGCCTTACATTGTGAACTTGAAAGCATGTTTAAATTTCTATACCATGAACGAGCTGAATATGAAAGTTTTTCTGAGTTATTTATTGTCATTGTCATGACCTTACATGCGTTGTCAGTATATTGGTTCTGACTGTATCCTTCTGATCCTGTTATTACTTTCAGCCCAAGGTTAGTCTTGTTACTTATTGAGTACATTGGGTCGGTTGTACTCATACTACACTCTACACTTCGTGTGCAGAACCAGGTACATATGGACGCGGTGATTGCTAGATTGGTGCTAGTACCTGCTCGGAGACTTTAAGGTAGCTGATATGACGCATGCAGACCTTAATTCTCCTTCCTTTTATTTTATTCAGTACTGTTCTATTACTCAGACAATTGTACTAGATTTTCAGTCTAAGTTAATACTTTAGTAGTGCTCATGTACTTGTCGACACCAGATTTTAGGGTGGTTATAGTAGAGTTTCAATTATTTTTATCAGATATTTATGAGATTTTTCATTGTTGAGTTTATTAAATCATCCTTTATTTCAAATGTTTAGTTGTTATGTAATTGTCGTCTTGCCGAGGAAGTGTTTTAGGTGCCATCACGACAGGTTAGAATTTTGAGTCGTGACAGATGGTTAGAAACCTCATGGATTATGACATTGATCAACAAATTAAACTCATTGGAATAAAAGTAAAAAGAGTAAAAGCACCATTGAAATTAGTCACACTTCCAAAATAGGGAGATGCAATGGATGAAGAAATTAAGAAAATCAAGAAGAATGATACATGGGAGTTGGTCACGCTTCCAAAAGGCAAAAGCACCATCATATTCAAATGGGTTTACAAGCTAAAGAACAATTCCAAATTTAGGAGAAGTAGAGAGATATATTGAAATATCGGTAGCCAAGCGATACAAGCAAAAGACCAATATTAATTATAAAAGGTATTTGCATCAGTTACTCGTTTGAAAACAATCAGGTTGATAATTTCTTTAGCAACCCAAAACCAATGAAAAATTCATCAAATGAATATAAAGTCAGCTTTCTTAAATTGAATTTTGGAGGAAGAAGTCTACATTCATCAACCTTTGGCTATAAGGTTAAAGGACGAAGATAAATTTCTTTAAATTAAAGAAGACTCTCTGTAGCTTAAAGCAAGCTCCACGAGCTTGGAATAGTAGAATTGACAAATACCTTCAAGCATATATTTTTTCAAAGTATCCACATGAACATGCACTTTATGTAAAAACAAAATGGTAATATTTTACTTGTTTGTATGTAAATGATTTGATCTTGACAGAAGATAATCCAAAGATGTTTGAACAGTCCAAGTAATGACAAGAAAATTTGAGATGACGAACATTGGTCTAATATCCTACTATCTTGGAATTATGGTGAGACAAGAGAATTATGACATCTTGATTTCTCAAGAAGAATATGCAAAGGATATTATCAAGAAATTTGAGATGGAGAATTACAAGCCAGTTAGCACCCCATG